CCAGCCAGGCGCCCCAACCTAGTCCTAGTTATCTCCAGACTGACCCTATAAATTTCTTAAGCAGCTCCAGCTTAGTGGTTAAGACTATGGGTTCTGGAGCCAGGCTATCGAGATTCAAATCCTGGCCCCTCCATTAGCAAGATGAGTTACAGTATCCTCTCAGTTGTCACGCTTGAAAATGGAGTTTACAACACTAACCACCAATACGGTCATTTTGAGGATTAAATGAATAATGCATGTCTTGTAAGCAACTCCTTGCCAGGCTGATGTGATAACCATTCAATAATCTGGCCGCTATGTACAGTTGAAGCAAGCTTGATCATCACCTATCATCTTGCTCTTATTAGAGTAACATTAGCCTTGCTCTGCCCACTCAATTCTCCTGGGTGAGAAGGCCAGACCTGTGGGGAGGGGTCTGTACTTCTCCAGCTCTGCCTGGGAGTGGAAGCATGGCCCTACAGCCAGGGAGCGGTATTTTGAAACTTGCTTGGTCCACATCTAAATTACATCTTCCAGCATAAGAGCATCACTTACACGGAGAATATAGTAATGTCCAACTGTTTGAGTCTAAATCGCTCTCTCTTTCAGATGGTGCCAAACTCTGGCCGAGATGCCAGTTATTAGCTCCCCTCAAGCACCAACACATAGTTAAGCGACAGGCTATAATCTGTCATCCATCCGCCTTAGGGTCTCTCCAACCATATGGTGAGCCCACCATCGATGGGTCTATATCTTGTCCTCAGTGAGGCCATGAAGAGGGCAGTGTGGGAAAGGACATGGTCTCTTACCCCAAGAAGCTTGGGTCCAAATCTGGGCTCTGATAGTTCATAGGTAGGTGACCCTTAGCTCCCAAGGCCTTGTGTCCACATTCATAATTGTACCTTCCTTATACAGTCCTTGCAAGGACTGAGTGAGTTACAACAAGTACATCACAATAGTGCCTAGCATGTAGTGAGAAAAGTGGGAAGAAATCCTCTATTTTATAGCCTAGGTGTTTTTCAAGATGCAATGAAAGCAGTTAAGTACTTTTTCCCTGTAGATGAAATACTAAAGTTCTGGAGATGAAGGATTATTTTGCGGAAAAAGATATTTACCTGAAACACTACTGATACTGTCAAGGATGTCCTCATCCTCAAGGGTGAGCATAAACTCAGCTTCTGCTAATGAACGGGTAGCCACGGAGCTATTTCAGGAGGCAGCACACAACGAAACACAAGGACAAGATTGGTAGCGGTTAGGGAAGGTGGGAGAAGCGGGAACATGACCCTGAAGACAGCTTATCCAGCAAGGAACTTAACATGTTTAGTTATTTGTAAGAAAACAAAAGTTTCTTAGGACAAGTGGATGTTATCCCCAAGATTTTCTCAAAATAGAAATTGAGAATGGGATAAGAGATTTGTTTTAACTTACATTTATGAGTAAGCACACCCTTGCTCTGTGGAGACACGTCCCTGGACTGCAGGCACTGGGCAATACATTTTCATCTGGAATCTTTTTTTTATATATTATTTTATTTTATTTTTTGAAGATTTTATTTATTTGACAGATAGAGATCACAAGTAGGCAGAGAGGCAGGCAGAGAGAGAGGGGGAAGCAGGCTCCCCGCTGAGCAGAGAGCCCGATGCGGGGCTCGATCCCAGGACCCTGGGATCATGACCTGAGCCGAAGGCAGAGGCTTTAACCCACTGAGCCACCCAGGAGCCCCACATCTGGAATCTTATCTCCATCATCTTATGGTCTGTGTTCTGCCCTCTGACGTGTGATAGGGTGGCAAGCCACTAAAGTCTTGAGCATTCTGTTTCCCAATCTCTTTATTACATACTCATCTCTGCCGATGTGACAAGCATTATTCTACTGCAACTTTATCATACTGGGAATGTAGCTTAAATTGATAAAGGCTGAACATACATGAGTTATGAATAAGATCTAGATTCTGAAGAGGCATTTTTCTTTTCTTTGGTATCCATATTCTCCCCATCACAGCTGGAGCGTAACACAGCACAAGGCACATGGTAAGTCCTCCCTACACAATTGTGTGAATAAATACACACTCTGGGATTTTACTTCAAGGGTGTTTACCCTTTCCTGTTCATCAGTGTGGCAGCTGCCTCAAATGGCCAGTCTTGGATGGGGATGATTAGAAGCAAATAATCAAAGATCACCAATGGTAATTTGACAGAAACACTACTTTATTTATTGTCTAGGAAGGGAGTGACACATTATTCAAGAAAAGTTCACCTATATCTCCCTGTAGTACGTTATAATCATGAACAACATAGCTTTAAATTTCCCAAGTCTGTTATGTGCATATTTTTTCGAAATACCGTACAATACTGTACAGGAATTTTCCTCCCAATAATTTCCATAATATTTTCCATAATAAATTCCATAATATTTTCTTTTCCCTAGCTTACTTTATCGTAAGAATACAGTATTTAATACATATAAAGACAACATACGTGTTAGCCAAGTGTTTAGGTCAGCAATAGGCTAGTAGGAGTTAAATTTTTAGTGAGACAAGAGATACAGATTTTTGACTTTGCGGGGAGTCGGCACCCCTCACCTCACACTGTTCAAGGGTCGCCAGGACCTAGAGGGCAAAAGGAAAGAAGTACATCAAATCAGGTGAGATTCGGAGTGCAGGTGTCTGGCTGGTTCCCAAGGCCAAGCGGAAACTCCTCTAAGCCAGTGGTCACCACGCTGGGTCACTTCTAAAAGGCACAGGCACCATTAACGAAGTTGTCCAGGATGGGTTACCTACAGCCCTACCGGGCTCGGCGTCCCTCCCACGGCACATCTGACCTTGGCTTGAGGTTGGCCGAAATCTTCCCTTAGCGGGGCCGGGACAGTACAGCGGGCTTGATCGAGAAGGACCCACCGGTCACCCGCCTCTGCGCTCATCTCTTCGTAAAAGGCCAAAGATTTCCACGATCTGAGGAGAAGCCAGAGTATCGCTCATCTCCTTGGGAGCGGCCAGACCTCATCTCCCTTTTGTGTGAGGGCCAGAGGCAGGCAAGCATGCGTGTGTACGTCGCAAAACAAAGGGCAGGGACACAGGCTGCCCTTTAAAAATTGTAATGCGACAACACGTGAGAAGCTCTCAAAGAAATCCCTGCCCACCAGCGTTCCTAGCAGCAGGACCGACGACGGCCGACAGGTTTCGCCAGCAAGGGGGATGTCCACGGACGGAGACCGGGCAGACGCAGCGAGGTACACGCACACCAGCGCGTAAGGCTCAGCCGAACGAGAACGAGCAAAGCCCGGCGGGGGTGACACCACACGCGAACCTCGACCACACTGCGCCGAGCGAGAGAGGCCGGACAGGAGACGTCACACGCTCTCTGACGCCATCGTCAGCCAGTGTCCAGAACGGGGAAGTCCACAGACGCAGAAAGCAAACGGGTGCTTCCGGGGCCGGGGGAGAGGACGGCAGCCGGTGCTTCGTGGCCACAGAGGCCGCCCTGGGGGTGAGGGAGCTGTTTGGGAAATACAGCTGGTGATGGCACAGCCACGTAAATGCAGCGACTGACGCCCAGCTGTACCCCTGAAGACGGGTGACTGTCGCTCCTGTGAAGTGCGCCTCCGTACAAAGGAAGGGGAAACAGAAAGAACTTCAGGGCTCTCGTGAGCCCCACCGACACGAGAAAGCAGGAACGGACATGGGGGAGCCGGGATGCTGGACAGCCCAGGGGCACCAGGAGGGGACAGGCAGAAACGGGCGGTAGGGGTCCCGCTTCAGAATCTGACCAGAGGTCGCCAACACTTGAAAAGCAAACAAATAACACACATTTTCAAATGCGAAGCTCTTCAATGTCTCCAAATAACCAGGAGTTCTAAACCAAGTAAAGGACCATAGAGGGAGAAAGCAAGACATCCCACAGGTGCCTTTTCGAGGCCAGTGATTGCACCTGGACGAGAGGGGCTGGGCTCTGCGGGGGGCAGCGTGGGCACTGAGTGCAGCCTGGGCGCCGCCACCAAGCAGGGGCGCCCCTGAGCCACTCTGCCCACCTGGGAGGTCTCCCACATCCTCCATATAAGCCTGGCAAGCACATCCTCTCTGGGGAGGTTTCACAGTTTCTTTCAAAACAAATTTGCCAGAATTGCATTTAATACACGGTGCACAAACACTGAAGCACATACCAAGACCGCTCTTCCAAAAGGGGTTTCTGGTAGTTAAAAAGTCACTTCAGTACAGACGATGCACAGGGAAACCATGTGCAAAAAGCTACGTACGCCCTTCCCTTCCCAGGCTACAACACACAGGAAACTTCGGGACCTCGTGCCAAGCAAAGGAAGCCAGTCACTGAAGGACAAACACCCCTTCAGGATTCATACAAAGTATCTGAAGCAGTCCAACTCGGGAAAACAGAAAACAGAATGCTGGGTGCCTGGGCTGGGGGGGGATGGGGAACGGGGAGCTCTGCTGGTGGGGATAGCTGCGCTTTTGCAAGAGAATAGCTCCAGAACCGCCTTGGGAAACCATGTCCATCTACCGAGCATCAACCGAACGAACGGCACCTTCAAAATGGTTAAGGCGGTACATCTTAGGTCAGGATTTTTAGCTCCCCTAAAAATCTGGACAACCATCCTATTCAAGGAGTACCCATGATAACTGTTGTGCGAGTGCAGTTTTACGGTTTTCGAGAAATTATAGTTTCGGGGGTTTCGACGGAACCCGGTTTGGAGCTGGATCTACTTTAGAACATTAACAAGTAAGGTGACCGTCTACAAGGACAGCAACAAAGCGACGACTTTAAGCAAAAACAATCCCAGGGTCTTGCTTGAGTCGCTGCCTTGTTTCTACGAACCGCTCACCAGCTTGTGCTTTCATAAACTGTTTGGACACCGAAACGTAAAACACGGACACATCGAGGAAAAGAAAAAAAAGAAAAAAAACAAAAACCAAAACCAAAAACCAGAACCAAAATGGAAGTCAAAATTCGGGAGGTGATTTGGGCCCATGCTCTGGTGTTTTGTACAAAGAGAAAATACGGCAAGACTCAGGATTTGGGAGGGGAAGGCGGGCTTCTGTCCATTTTACCTTTGGCCTGGCTTGCGGGCTGCGGGCCCAGAGGCAGCCCAGCTGTCTGGGCGGCGACTGTCGTCACGGCCACAGGGCCCTGCAAGATTCTCAACCGTGGTCCCTGCGGCTGGGGCGGCGGCTGCGAGGCAGGGGCCGGCCGCAGTGTGTGCGCGGGACGAGGACCGCTCTGCTCGGGGCTTCTCTGGCTCTCCCCAGAGCCAAGCGGGGCCGACACCGCCGCGTGGGGCTGCGGCAGCTCCCCCTCTCCGGCCCGGTTTAGCATCACAGCCTGCTGAGCAGAGGAGGCCCTTTCTGGACTGGCTGCACCTCTTGCACTTGGACCCTGGGGCCCAGGCCGCTGAGGACCCCCAGTGGAGGCTTGCTGAAGTTGTTCTTGGGAAATCAACTGATAGAGCCGCCGCTCTGGCTGCCGCGCCGTGTTCAAAAGGAGCGAATCTTGGGGAACCTCCAGGAGAGTTACTGGCCTGAGGCCGCAAGCGTGTTTTAAAAATAACTGGACGCGGACCGGAAGACTCCGCGCTGCAGTGGGCACCGCACTGGGCGGCCGAGCGCCTGAGGGCAGGCTGCTGGGCTGGATCCCCGCAGGAGCCTTGGCGCCAGCCTGAGGGCCCTGCCCCGGGCCGGAGCCCCTCTCCAAAGCCCGCGCTCCGCAACCAGGGCCCGCCGCTTGGAGGAGGCTGTGGCCCGCGGAGCTGGCCGTGACCTGGGCGGCCGGGCTGCTCTGCGATGAGCTGGCGGGGGACGGGGTGGTCGCAGGCAGCCTGCTGACTCCAGGGCCCTCCTTCCCAGAGGATTTCGGGGACTTGGCCATGACCGGGGTGGCCGGGGCTCTCAGTGAGGAGCTGGCGGTGGGCAAAGTGCCTGCAGGAAACACGCTCACTCGAATCACTTCCACAGAGGATTTCTGGGCCTTGGCTGGGACCCGGGTGGCCGGGGCTCTCACGGACGAGCTGGCCGGGGACAGGGGGGCTGCAGGAAGCGTGCCCAGTCCGGTCACGCTCACAGAGGACTGCTGGGAGCCGGCGGAGACCCGGCTGGCCGGGCTCCTCTGTGGTGCGCTGGCGGCGGACACGGTGGCTGCTGGAAGCGGGCTCCCTCGATTCACGTCCACGGGGGATTGCTGCGAAGGACTTGGTGGCTTAGGAGCGGGAGCAGGAGATGGAGATTTAAGAAAGCTGCTGGCCTCCCATGGAATAAAACTGTTCCCCGACTGGCTCTTTCCTGAGCTCCAGGGAAGTCTGATGCGCAGAGGGGGCCGTCCCACGCCCTCCCCCTGGACTGGGGACCGAACCGACGCCATGTCAGGCTGTTCTGGGTCGTTCCCGGGAGGAAGCCCACTGAGGCCGCCTGAGCCATCCGACCCGGTGACCGTACAGCTGGCCTTCTGCGGGACCGCCAACTCTGCCCCCGGGACCACCCCGCCGGCCGCAGTCTTTGATCCGGGTGGGACACGGCCGGAACGGTCATCTGTGCAGGGGTGCGGAGGAGACATCTGTCCCTCCCACCCGTCTTCCTTCCAGGGCCTTCTCGCTCCAGAGAAAGGTGGATTATTCGGCGGCGGCGACTGCGGGAAGGTCAGCTCCGTGCTCCGAGGCTCATGGCCGGCTTCGCAGCCACACGCACCACCGTCCCTCACCTCGCCGGCTGCCCAGACTCCCGGAGGGGAGACGTCCCGTTGGGCGGACCTCTTCCCTCTGGCATATTTCTGCACATCCACTTCCGAAGGCACCGCCAAGTCACAGGGTCTCCGCTTCCATGTATCTACGCAGCTCCCCGCTTTAGAAATTTTGAGGTCGTACCACGGACGGTCTTGGCGCTCTCTGCGTTTCCTGCAAGAGGCCCATACTGTCAGCTCAGGAGGAGGGGGACAAGCAGACAGCTCCCGCTGCCGATGCAGAGAGGGGGCAGAGTACCTCCTGAAGCTCCTTTTCATCGGCCCAGTGTTCATCTTTTGCTTGTTATAGAGCAGCCTGTTCGCCACGCAGGCTACTGCTACAGAAGGATCCAGACACAGGGGCTCAGCGGTAGCCAAGATCAGCTGGCTCTCAAGCGACAGTTTGTCTTCCTGGGTCCATTCCTGGCCATCGCTGGTTATGGACTGCACGTCGCAGGCTAACGTCTGCATGGTCGGGCGCAGGAGAATGTGCCTGCTCTGGTAGCCCGGAGGTTCCCCACCGCTGCACTGCCTGTAGTCCCGCACCTGCGCTATGACGCACCCGCGCTGGAAGAGGTTCACCTCCGATTTTTCCAGCACGTCCAGCAGAGCGGGAGGTAATTCTTCAGCATCCAGGTATTCGAGCAATTCGTGTTCTTCGTAGGGCAGCCGAACGGTCTCCGAATATGCTCCGTGTTTGCCCTGGAGCATCAGCGAATATCCCCCCTCTCCCCGGTGCAGGTTGACCACTAAACACGGCAACGACTCTCTCCTCACGAGCTTCTCTAGCAAGTTCACGTTGCTTCGTAGCTCCTCCGGATCCTCAGGCTCTCTCCCACATTCTTCCACATAGATGTCGTAAAGTTTCTCGTAGAGAGATGCTTCCCCACTCGACGAGCCTTTCCTCTTTGGAGGCCTCTGCTGGGCACCTGCGATGACATAGTCCGCACGGTCCAAAGCCCTTTCCAGCGCCTGTTGCATCGTGGTGCAAAAGGGGCCCTAAAGACAAGAGAAAACGCAAGTGCCTTGAGGAGCGGGCCAAAAACCCCGGCTTTCACGTCGAGGTAGAGTCCGGCCCGCGCCGCAACTCCCCCGCGGCGCGGTGAGCCAGGAGCCTCAGTTCCCAGTGGTGGACGGCCGCCGGGAGCCCGCCCCGGGAAAGCAGCACACGACATACCTGCGATCAGGGGAAAACAGCTACACGTGCCCGAGTCGCCACCGCGGGTCCCGACTCCCTGCAGGCTGGGCCGGAAGTGGGCAGGTGGGCGCACCCCCTCCCGCCCTCCCTGCTCTCCCCCCGCCCCCCGTCCCCGCCCCCTGCGGGAGCCTCCGCTGGTGCGCATGTGCGCTCTCTGCAGGCCACCAAGGCAGGCCTCAAGCCTCCTCCTGTTGTTGCCTCCGCCCTGGGGCCACGAGGCCCAGGGCCCGCACTCCCGCAGCAGGGCCACCCCTTTGCTTTGCGCTTAAGGCCCAGGGCACGCCGCCGCCGCCGACGCGCAGGCAACGATCCGAGGAATACGCCCTCTCCGGTCCGGTCCGGTCCCAAGTCCACGCCAGTTCGCGCAGAAATGCGGCTGTCGCCGAAGCCTTGGAAACTGTTCCTTTCCTTTCTGGGCCGGCGCTTCCCCCAGAATTGTTCGCTGTTTCCGAGTCTCCTGTCGTGAACGGCAGGGCTGCGCCTGGTGCCCGTCACCGCTTGCACACACCCCACAGCGCCCGTGGGCAGTAGCCCCTGCCTGCGCCGGGGGAGGCTCGCTGAATCTGGTGCAGGCATCGCCATTCTTCTCCAGTCTTCAGGGGTCCGCCCGGTGGTGGTCCTGTCGCTGTGCGCAAGACATGCCGTTCTGATCCTTAAGTATTGTCCTGGTACTGCCCCGTGTGTCCCGTAAGGGCGCTTTGCAAGGATGCCGTAGGCCACGCGTCTGTCCCGTCTGGGGGCACAGCTCAGCTTGAGACTATCGGTTTGGAAGGGTGGCCTGCCTGTCGTGGGGCTGAGAGCTAGTGTCCCCAGTGACGGCAGCACATTCCAGCGATCAGTCGGACTTGGAGCCCACAGCCGGGATGCTAAGCTTGGGTCTGGAGGGAGCTGATGATGGGGACCTGGAGAACTGAGGGGCCCTTGTTGTCCACAGCCTTGGCTGCCTTGAGATGCGCCGGCCCTCTGGGACAGCTTTTTCAAAGACACCCTTGAGGTTTACGCGAGGCGTAGTGATAATAGCATGTGCACAGAATAGTCCCACAGAGGAAAAGAAGCCAAGCCGAGTCGGAGAAACTGCCGAATTTCACACGACTCTAAACCCGGGCTGGCTTTCAACCCCTGGCAATGGTGCCAGCTGCACGTGTAGTTGATAGGACCGTCAGCCCAGCGAGGATCAAGCACTTTTTGACGGAGAGCTTCTGAGCGACAGATGACCCGGGTTCAGGGAGGGGCAAGAAGGCTTTTCTGCTGGCCATCAGCTGTCTTTGGGCGAGTGGGTACTTGGGGAGCGCCTCCAGGGGGCTTGAGTCCTGTCTAGTTTCTGCCCTCTCTTACGCGTCCTCCCCTGCCTCTCTTTGTCCCACCTCCACTTGCCCGAATCGAGGCTGAGGCTCAGACCGGATGGCGAAAGCGCATTATTCCTGGCAGTAACGCCTCCCGAAGAAGAAAGAAGCCCGAGACTTGTGCGGGCCGGTCGCTCCTGGCCTGGGGAGCGGACTCCCAGCTTCCCAGCAGAGCGGCGGAGGGTCGGGACCCGGTGAGGCCAGCGACGGGTCCTGGGGCGGCAGGCTGAGGGAGAGACCTGCTCTCGGGCGGTCCCCCCCCCCCCCGGCCCATCGGGGTCGGTGCCCCGGAGACGTCGCCCGCCTCCCCTCGGCCCGGCGCCCGCCTCCTGCCTCCTGCCCGGCTCCTCTCTCTCCTCCCTCTCCCACGCGTCTGGGCGGGGGCGGTAGTCCCTGGTCCACCGACGGCCGAACCGCCCCGGGATCCGGAATCCCTGGGGACCGACACCGTGTCTCCTCCACCCCACCCCACCCCAACCCCCCCCCCACGCCCCCCACCCCTCCGTTCGCTCACCGCCTCGAGGGCTCACTCCTTGGCCCCAGGCTGGCGCTGTCGATTGAAGGAATGAATGGTGGGCGCAGCGCTCTAGTTCCCCCAACTGCAGACTCCTCGGGATCTTGCCCAGTAAATACTGTACACCCGTTTCCGAAACGAGGAGGGTACCCGCAGCCAGGTCTTCCGGCTCTGGTGCCCTGGACGGTGCCAGGATCGCCCCACCGGGACGCGGGGTGGGGGCTGCCTGCGCGCCGCGGGCCGTTCAGCCGCATCCCTGGCGCGGTCTGGTGCGTGCCCGTGCCCGTGCCCGTGCCCTTGCCCTCAGTTGCCAGGACCCAACATGGCCCCAGGTGTTGCCAGCTCTCCCTGGCGGGCGGGGAGGGCCGGGGGCAAGATCGTCCCCTGGCGGAGAACCGCCCCACTGTAGACCCGCTCTGGAAACCAGGAGTGTCATCCAAAGGCCGCCCTTTAGCCGATCACCCCAACCGGGGGCACTTGTCACTGGCCAGAGAGAGAGAGAGAGAGAGAGATAAGTGCATCTGCCCCCCTGCCACGGGATGGCCCGGATCCACGGTGTTGCCCTGGCCATGTCCTCGGCTGGGGTTCCCCATAAGTGCTCCCTGGGAAGAGGATCTGAGGGCAGGCGGTTGACCTGGGAGCTCATCCCCAGAAGCACCCGCAGGGGAAAGGGGGTGACCTGGGGACGAAGACAACAGCGGGCACCTCCGTGAGCAGAAGTCCGCTGTGGACCGCTGGTCCCTGAGAGGCAAGGGAGCTGGGGCGTGTGTCTCTCCACTCCTCTCTCTCACTGGCGGAGGACAGCCCTGAAACTGTTCCCTGTCTCTCCGGTTTGCCACTCAGGAGAGCCACCCGTGCTGACGTGGCCACTCGCTACCCTTAGACGGAGAGTCACCGGCGCTGCCACTAGCGCCGCGGCTGCGGGGAGAAGTCCGGCGCCGTGGCGATCCGGGCAGGGCGCCCCTGGCACCCGCTGCACGCGCGATCCGAGCTCAGGGCGAGAAGTGGGCCTTTCCTTCCCCGTGCAGCAGAGAAATGTGTGCTGTCCGGTAGATCTGGCGGTGTGGACGCGGGAAATGCTACCCCGTGTCCGGGTGAAACGGACAGTGGCGTGTGAGGGGGTTGTGTGCGCGCCCATGAGAGAGTGTCCGCTCTTAAGGCCACCGCGGCCTCCAGCGGAGCTTGTGGCCTGCTCCCTAGCCCCCGCCTGGGGGAACCCCTAGGCCTTCTGGCCGCAGGTGCCCCCGGACGAGGCTCTCCCCCGGCTGCGCGTGTCCTCCAGCGTGCGTGCGTCAGTGGGCCTGGCCGCGCTTGGCCGGGGGCTGCAGCCGGCCCCTGCACTTGCACTCCCTAATTGCCTGGTCTTCCCACAAGATGAGGGGGTTTAAAAAAAAAACGCTCCGAGTGCACACCGTCCTTGGAGCCCTTCAGGCACGTTAATGAGCTCACTGGCTGTTTATAAGGACTCCGATGGCTGCCCTCCCCTACAGCAGCCTGACCTAGTTGCACATGCTGAGAAAACTCACGGCCAGGCTAAGCTTTGCTAGTGGGAGAAGAGAGTTCCGTTAATTGCAAGATAATTGAGCTAATTCGCAATTAGCAAACTGGTTTGTGCCATACCCATTGAGGTCCAGGTCTAGATTTTGCCCCCTCTCCCCTGTTGTGGCTAATTAGAGGGACCAGCCAGAGAACAGGGACTGCAGGGAGCAAGGGAAGGTGACGCTACCTTGCTTGTTGGGCTCATCTCTGGTCGACCCCCCATCACTGGCCCTAAGTCTGATGTGTCTTTCCTGTGTTCAGGCCCCAAGACCCAGTAGAGCAAATCTCTGGGGGGATGCTGTAGCTCTGGGAGATCATGTGACTGAAGGCCCCTCCCACAGCCCATTCCAAAGATGGAAAGGCAGACCTTATCCAGAAGCACCATGACAGGGAGAGGGACCACTGCAGTGGGATTTCCCAGCGAGGGTCGGGGGAGAGATTGTGCTCAACTCTGAGTGCAGCATGGGCATATGGGAGTTCAAAGCCAAGGAGCCGGGTGGGAGTCCGTGGGTAGAAGCTTACTAAGAGGAATCATCAGGGATGTGGGAGATCCTGGCTAAACGGAGCCAACAGGTTTCTCTGCTGAAGACAGGCCAGGGTGATCAGGCATGGCAGGGGGGATGGTGGAGGATGAGAAATGTGATGGGGCATGGAGCGTGGGGTGGGGGGGGTTCTGCTTAAACCGAGGGAGCAGGGTTCTGGCCAAAACTGGCTTCTACAAGGACGTTAAGTTGCTTTAGCTTTCGGAAAGTTTGTCCTCTATAATACAATTTAAATCTAGTATTGCTAAGAATTTTTCTTTTGTTCTTAGGACAGATGTTTATTTTACCCAGAATTTACCCACTGGGGACTGGAGTAGTAAAGGAGCACAGTTTCATCCAGCTCTGATGGAAAGATAACTGAAAGGGATTTGACATATCACACCAGAGTCCCCTGGCCATTTGGCTGGACTTTGGAATTGTATTGCTTGCGAATCCTAGAGCCTTGGACTATACCTGAAAATGGGTGGAGAGGTACGTTAGGTCTGTTCCCTAGAAGAAGACCCTGAAATAAGGATGCATATACAAGTAGTTTTTTGAAGTCTGTGCTTTCAAGGGGTGATGGATGCAGAACAGGGAAGGAGAGGAAGCCAAGGCCATGACCTCAGGCCCACCCAGCCTCAGCCTAACCTGATGGGCGAACTCTGGAGTGTGAGTTATGCCTCAGAGATCGTTCCAACGTAAGGCCAGGGAGCTGGGCTTTCACACTCCTGTCCTTGTCTATCCCTGCTTCTTTCTGTTCCAATAACCTAAGAGTAGTCTTCCAAAAAGAGTCTCTGGTAGAGGCCATTAGAAGCAAAACCACACAGAAGCCAGGGTAGAAGGGCGGAGGAACAGTTGACAGGATC